ATTGCTGTCCATGAGAGGGATTTACCCACAGACTGATCAGCTACAAGGACTGGGAGTGACTACTGCAGAAGATCTCCTATGTAGGAAGCAACCCCATGAAGCAAGACTCATTTCAATGGGGTCTGGTGTCTGCTGATCTGCCCCTTGAGTTTGTCGATTGTGGAGGTGGTTGGGTGATGTATTGGCACAGTGTGAATCTCTCCATTAGGTGCACTGGCTCTGAGGACTCCTAGAAAGTGCAGGCTAAGGTCAGCTGCCACATGTGCTCTGTCCAGAGTCATCCTGCATGAAATACAGAGTGATCTGCAGATGGCTGCTACTTGTGCTGGATTTGGAGGTGTGCTGGAGAAGATAAACTGTAAACCAAAGCTGGCTGCAGCTAGTGCTGGGCCTCAGGATACTTAGAAAGAGGTATAGTTTGTGGTTTTTGAAATTTCAAGAGATTTTATGAAAGTTTGCAGCATGAGCCAAGACAGGTCATTTGTATAGAAAAGCAATATGGAAACAGCTGGGGTGGGCATGAAAGTTGGGTAGGGTGGGGTCTCAGGAAACCAGAGCAGGATGAACAGCATAGGCCAGGTTGATAGAAAATCAGACGTGGCACCTGCCCCCTGGCTCTGTGGTGGATGGCTCAGAAAATGAACCGTGGCCTCTGCCAGCATACCTCTTTGAGAGAGAACTGCCCCTCCTGCTTTCATCCTGAAGCCAGAATATTCAGTTCCTTTCTATATACCCCTGGAACATTTTGAACTGCTGCCCCAGCTCTGGAACTCAGAGCAAGTGAGTCCATGTAAGTTTGTGCACAGGCCCTTTAAGAAGAATGCTTGAACTCCAGAGGCCATTCACCTCACTCAGCCACAATCCCTGATGGTTTTCTCAGCCAGAAGTCTTGGGAACTTCTCTTCCTGGCAATGGAACCCTGGGTTGGTGGGCCTGGTGTGGGTCTGGGACCTCTCACTCCTCAGGGAGGACCTCCGTAGCTGAGATATCCCCTCTGATAGTTATCTGCCACATGTAGGGATAGGACCAGCTCATTGCACATCTCAGCCCTCCTACCCATCTCCATGTGGCTTGTCCTCTATATCATTAGTTGTAGGACTTCAATTCTGAGTGATTTTTGTTCTGCGGCTTAGCCGTAATTTTGATGTGGTTGTGGGAGGATGCGAGTACTGCATTTACCTGTGCTGCCATCTTAACTGGAAGCTTGAAACTACTTTTCTAATGCAAAAACAGCTAGTAAGGAAGTGAAAGAGCTAAGACACAATGATCATACTTTAGACTCCATCTTCAATGCCTCCTACAATGCAAAATACTTGCATTAAACTATATAGATATTAGGGGAAAGTGATCAAGGACATGAAGGACAAAGGAAGTAAGGAGCAGTAAAAGCTGGATTGAAAGATATTAGGTATAGAACCCTCTCCTCACTGTCCCCAAACCATCCAATGACCTTCTTATAGCCTGGAAGTTTAGTTGTTATCTTCTTTACTTGACCTGAAATTGTGCATATTCTCTTGGTATTTTGCACATAATGACCAAAACTATGTAAAAAGGACATGCTGAAGATTCCCTCACAAAAGCTACCTGTTTGCTGTATATATGTCTGAGTCCTGGCAAAATGCCAGAAATTAAAGAAAAGCTGTTTATCAGTTTCCATAACTGGGCAAAGGTTACGGCAAAGTTATTTACATAAAAGTGGGCCTCCAGGTTTCATTTCTGCCTGGGTTCAGGAGCTGCTAGCTTTCTAAGGCAAGGACCCACATCCACTGAATAGTTTAACACCCTCAGCAGTGGAGTTCTTGCCTGTTTGTCTTGTGGATTCACCTTCAGGGTCCAGGACTCTGCTTGGGCTTCATTTGATTTGCACACAGAGCTAACTTGAACGCAGCCATATCTACTTAGGACAACCAGGGAAAATGGCTTCACTTGGAAGACTAAAGGAATATCTGTGCAGGTTTACTAAATAACCTGGCTTCTTAGAGGTTTACAAAGAATAAAGGGGCAGACTTTTACTATTTCCCAGGTGGTAGTGGTTTGAAGCAGAGTTTTCTCCCTTTTTCATCAGAGAAAGGCTTTAGCCTGAGAAACGGTAAAGAAGTAAAATCCTAGTAAATAAAGAAACTGAAACCTAGTGCTACCAACATGTATGAGAGCAGAATATGACTTCTGTATTAAGGGACATGATGAATGTTTCCACATTATGGGAGCCGCTTTAGCACAACCTTTAAAATAGTGCTTTAGAGATATGTGAGGACATAGAGAAATTTGTCTCTATACTTTCAACCTTTTCTCTTCTAGAAAGATTTTTCGTAAGAATATGCTTTGGGCTGGAGCTAAGAGAATGTGGAAGAAAATTTCTAGCCTTGAGTGTTGCTGCCACCTACATGGCAGGAAGACTACAGACAAAGCCTAGCACCTTTCAGGACAGTATATGTTCTATGAAAACATACTTCAGAAATCTCCAAATTTGTTTCTTGATTTTGGCTGTCCCAGTGACAATCGAAATGATAGTACTTTTTATTTTCACCTCATTTCCTGTCTCAAATTCTTGCAGAAATTGGACCAACTGGCTTTTGCTTGGATTGGTGGGAATACAGTGATTATTTGACATAGAGTCTGACCCAAGAAAATCTTCCTTCTCATAAAAACATTCTTGGGTGTAACTTGATCCCTGTGGCTCTGACTGTCTCAGGGAGAGAATGAAAGCACTTGATGCCACTGTGCTGCAGGTATTTTGGCTGTTTGCCTTCCTGGAGGGCTCTAAAGTACAAAGCAAAAAATTAAATTAAAGAGTGTTTCCTCAGTTGATTATAAGTATAAATTGATGTAAGTGGAGATAATATAAATATTAGAGTTCTTCTGATAGAGATAAGAGAGGTTACTTGTGATAGGAAATGCAGTTGCCACTGTAGAATTAACAGGACATCTCTTTAAGAATCTAAAGGAAACTTGTGATATGTCAAGAACACATCATAGACTGTCCTTTTATCTGAGATGGCATCATCTGAGGCCACAGTGCTGTTACTGAGGCTTTGTGAAAACACATTCCACCTAGAAAACTGTAAGATTGAAAAGCCAATTGATGACTTTACAGATAATAGCAATTAACATAACTGTTAAGTGAATAAATGATAGGTTTGTATGCACGTGCCACCCAATTATTGCTATTACATAATGTTATAAATATTGGCTTTTTGCACGTGTATGGCACTTTGCAGATTTAAGTACAGCATTGTACTAAATCTATACTAATTATTAAAAAGCTTGTATCTTTGAGTACAAGAAACAAAAATTACTGCTACTTTTCTAATTAGTTGTGTGTTGAAGATTGAAAGAATCCCTAAAATTGGCAATAGGAAAACATGTTCTGTGCAATGAGAAAAAGGCATTTGGAGAAACAATGCCAAAAGAAAGAACCATACATTTCCCCCTGTGTACCAAGAGGAGCCATTTCAAATGTTTTCAATGGTCTGTGACTCTAGTTTTCACAGGTATTAAAAAAATATGTCTTACCATTTGAATCATTATAATCATGTTCATAAGGTTGCAATAGTCAGTCTATTTACCTACAATATGCTTTGTGAGATAAAGGTGAGGTTTTGCCAAAGTTAATAAGTAGGGCCTTAAGACTAGGGGAGGGGTTGCAAAAGACTTGGTAATTAAGTTACATACATTTGAAGACAATATTAATGAAAATCAAATTCATGCATAAAAACCCCATGCTGTCAAAATTTTAAATAAAGATGGGATCTGAGAAGTTTGTGACGAAGGTGTGAGGAGTGAGGAGTTGTGCCAGGACAGGCCTCCCTATGCCACTGCCCAGCCAACGAGATGAAATGACCCCTGCCGTCATCCAGGCTCACAGGCCTGGGAGTTTCCAGTGGCAGGCTCTTACTGGGGAACTTCGTTTGTTCCCAATGTATGTATCTTCATGGCACCAGCAGTGTCCTCGCTGACGATGTCACAGCCCAGTGATCTGGGGACCACTCACTGTCCATGAAGCCTTGTACCTTCATCAGAAAGACATCTGCTCAAGAAAGTTTTAAGTTTGTAACTTTGGTTACAGCTAATTTTGAAAATATTTACAATGCTAGCCATGTACACATGTATAAAATGATGACTTTCTTATGTGATTAGACACAACTTTGGGTACTTAACACATAAAACAACATTTTTGTGGAGAATCAAATGGTAAATAGCACTGCCTTTAAATAACTGCATCATCAAAATATACGCAATATAAAAAATTTAAAATTATATGAATGGTCTATTTTGTGAAAATAAGATGTTAAAACCAATTAGATCAATATATCCTGAGCCTTCACTTAAAATACATGGCATAAAACTTAGTTTTTAAAAATTTGATTATTATAATGTGCCCTCTAAAGACTGAAGAGAAACACTATTTTTGAGTAACTGGTTGGGTAATTATAAAAGGTTTTTTGAAAAATAGAATTTTGGAGATAAATGGACAAGGATGGAAATAAAAATTACCCCAAAATACTACCATCTTGATAGAATGTTAATATTTAGCAAAGTGTTTTCTTATCAATATTCTAATGTGACATGTTCAAAGTAGCCTTATTTACTTTCTAAAATAGCAACAGAATGTTTCCCACCTAAAGCCACCTCTCTAGTTGTGTGTTTGTGATACCATACAGCTTACCTTATACTTCAAGTGCCTGACGAGGTTCAGATTGCTTTCCCTAAACCGTGTGGTGGAGGGCCTTTGCACAAGCCCTGTGATGGAGCCCTCTCCACGGATGGGGGGACGAGGCTCTGGGAGTCACAGTGAGGACCGGCTGCCTAGACACATGGCAGTGAACCTCGGCCCTTAAACCTACCTTCGTCCAGGTTCTTTCCTTGCAATATAGCCATTGTGTAACTCCATGAATAAAACAGAATTCCCACTTGCAAATTTGAAAATACGATATTCCTTTGAGGGAAATATGTAATCATAAATATTACCAAGATTATTGTCAAAAAAAGAAACACAGGACTATTTTTAATGAATCATTTATTACAATGACAAGGAAGACTCTGGAGACAAACATGTTTGCTCACTGACACAGTTCCTCCACATGTTACTGAAGGCCAGGCCATCCAAAAGCACAGACATGTAATCAAGTTGTGAGTGTCTAGTTGTGGTTAGGGTCACCACGTGGTTGATCCAATTAATTGTCTGACAACTTGCTATTTCAAGTTTTTCTTACAACAGAAATTACTGAAGTGCTGAACATAAGTCAATATAAGAAAATCATTTTAAAGAAACTAGACTTGTTTAAAAAACAAATTACACATGGATATTAGGGAATATTATCTTAAATGTGAATCTCTAAAATTCTCAGTTTTAGGAATTAAAATTATTTATCATTAATGGTGTTGGCTTCCAAACTTCCTATTGATAAAATGTTTTAATTAGCCATGTAATATTAATTATTGATATTAGCAACTACAAAATGATGCCAAAAATCTTTAAAATCTCAGTTAGTAATGTCAGGATTATGTCAGTTATCATTTCCTATAACTAGTGACATCATAAAATATTTATCGAGTTTTCAGTATTGGTTTCCTTAGACCTTAGTAAGTGTTAAATTTGGCAATGGTTTAAACTTATTTTTATGCTTCTTTGAAAGGGGAATAATATACAATATAAATCACAGCAAATACATCAGCTCACTAAGGACCATAATAGATGAGCACTTTATGTCTGTTCCTATTTACATTGCTTCGCATATTTTAGTTTAAGAATTCCTGCTAGTCAAGCTTCTTTCTGAGAAAAGAACTATAAGAGTGCATACTTCATAAGGATCAATTATGATATGCTAGAAATAGAGTCTTCTTCCCTAATTCACCTCTATATGACCAACAAGATCAACCTTTAGCTAAAGGCACAAGCTTCTATGTTGTTAGAAATCTGAAACTTAACTGCATGAGATCAGTCCCTATTTTACTATGTATCACTTATTTGGGCTAACTGATGACTAAATGGAACTGGCTATTTGTTGACAACATTTCATCCTTAGGGATTAGATTTACTGCAGGGTGATTGATCTGAATTAAAGCATCTACTAAAACAAATGTTTTAACCTAACAAATCAAACAAATTTGGTAAAGTTTTAGATTAAATACATTGAAGCAACATTACATTTTAAAAGCATTGTGTGTTACACTGTTTAAAAGCAATGTGGTTTTAATGCTGCTTATTATATAATTCAGGAACTGAAAAGATGGAAGAAAACCTAAAATGGTATTAAATTTATGTCTGTGGGCTAGGATTCCTTGTTGAAAAGATTAAAATAAAAGTAAGAAACAGGAATGAATATATGATGATTTATACAATGATTTTCTAAAATTAGATAAATTTGGATAATTTCTATCAGTAATTACACTTTCAATATACTTTGGTTAAAGTATTAGCAAATCTACTACAACCTAATATCTTGATCAATGCTCACACAGCATACACACAATAAACAAATGATGTGTTTCTTAATTCACCCAAATCCAATTCCTATAGATGAGATTTCCTTTAGCACAGCTTGCAGAAGCACATCTTTGCTATCCATGAATGATGCCTTGGCTCACCTAGAAAGAAAACAGATTATCTTGCATCATATGATGAAATAAAGAAAAAAGAAAGAAAGAAGGGAAGGAGGAAAAAAGGTATAGAAGAAGGGAGGAAGAGGGAGGGAAGTGTGAAAGGAAAGAAAGAATTAGAAAGGAAATAAAGGAAGGAAGGAAAAGTCTATATAATTTCTGCATTTCTTTTCTATCCTGAAGTAAAATATGTTAATGCAATAAAATATTATTATCTTATAAACCAGGTCCCAGGTAAATATATTTTAGCTGCATACATTATTAATATAGTCTGTTTTATATTATTGCCAAGAAAACTGAAAGTTTTCAACAAAATGAATTAGGTTTGAAATCACTCTATTTTCATAAATTTCCAGGAGCCGAATTATTTTTAGAGAAGCTCACAATTTAGGGTTGGTTTTAGGGTCAAATTTTTAAATGTTAGTTGAAATATGATTTCAATTATAGAATAAAAATTTATTTCTCAGACAACTTGGGTGATTGTTATTGCAGTGTAAAAACTATCATTTGCTTTAAATTAATTTGATTATCAAACTAACTGGAGCATTGTGCCTTAGTTAACAACATCTAAGCGCATGTGCACTGGTGATGTGATGGTGCATAGTAAATCCCACTCCTGCTGGCCAAACCTCAAAAGCCTGATTCGGTTTAGTTACACCAATAGTCAATATTGTATTATATATATATACATTATATAATAACACATTAGCCTAGAACTTTACATAATTTAAAAGTTATTAGGTTCAAGCTGAAATATTTCCCTTTGCGTAATTAAAAAAATATACTGATATTGTTAAACACAAGTAGAAAGAGGTTAAAGTATTTTTACTACTGAAATTGTTCTTCCTCCTTCTAGAACACTTTTTTAGCAGTAACCACAAAAAGTGTGTTCTCGATGGCTATGATTGATGGGCTGCTCACACATTCCACATTTTTTCTGCTTCATGCATCATCATCAGCCATCTCCAACACTCCAGTCCTGAATCTGTCCTACTTTCTCTTACCTGATTTTTGCTGGTGATTCATGAGCCAGAATAGTAAAAGAAAAAAAAAATCCACCTTAGCTTTCACAATGTAGTATCCCCTGTAAACTAAGAAATCTGATTTTGTTCATCAGATTCATGCAAATGCAATATTGATTGACAATGATGTATATAGATCTACACACATAATGTGCTATATAAAAACCACTAAAATGTTCTATTAACAGCAGAATGCATACTGATTATAAATTACCTCAGAATGACATGAAAATGCTTATCTGAATGCTTTCTTTTGTACTTTTAAGTTCTCTCTTGTCACTGCTATTTTCAGCTGAAGCTATATTTATGTGTACTGTCCCTAGTGCATTGAGAAGTAATATTCTTAATTTTCCAAGCCAATAAGGTGATAAAAGCTTAAGGTCCCTCATTAACACTTGGATAAAAATTGTGAATGTCACATAAATTTTTTATCATCATGAGTGCAAAAATGAGGGGTCAGAAACACTTTTTGTTATATTGTAGAGAATGGGAATCAAGCTTTAATCACTGCACGAAACAGTTAACAAGAAGTTAACCAGCAAATGATTAAACTGAACTATTTTTGTGATAACATCTTTTGGATTCAGAAGCATCCAGGCCTTAAAGAGACAGAAAGAAAGTCTAATGGCCCTAAAATCTCAAAAAAATGGAGCCTCAAGTTCACAATGTTGTCTCAGTGCTTCTATTACTAGACATCAAAGTTATTCCCACAGGTTTCAGGAATGCATAAACACCAGTGAAGAAGAAAGTAGACCACAGAGTCTAAGCCAGAAACTCCAACCTGGGATTCACCTGTGAGGCAAAACTCTTTGCTAATGAATTATTCCAAAGAAAAGACACAGCTGAGGGAGACCTTAACCTACCAGACAAGACCTCCAGGTTCACTAGCAAGGTCAGAGTAACAAGATCACTCAGGTCTAACATTACTTTGCCAACCTTAATGGACTGCAGGCACTCACCTGGGTATACAACTTGAACCAATAAAGAGATCACAAAGGCATGATGAATAAGGTAGAGCGCTCTGGAGATCGGGGAACACCCACTGCACCAGGCCGCTAAACTGTGACCTATATACACACTCCAGCCCATTTACAAATGGGTCATCCTGCCCTGGTCAGTGGCATGGAGCAGTGATGTCAACAGAAAAATACCGCTCTACTGATGAAGTGCAAAACCCACTGTATTCAGATATAATCAATTCACCAAATCAATCTACTGTCTATATAAATTCTAAAAATTTGATTTGAATAATGACATTTTTAAAATGTTCTATCAATGTTTTAAAAACTTCAACTTCACCTTTTGAAAACGCTATTTTAGTTTTTCTGGCTTCCGGATCCCTTTGCACTCTGCATATGCAAATGATTTGGTATCATCAATGTGAAGTTAGAACTAAAGTAAAATGATATTTATGGGATTTACAAAGAAAAGACTTTATTTGAAAAGAATAATATATGAGATGATATTGTTGACCTGTACTTGAATGGGAAAATGATTTTTTGTCTTCATTTTCTATATGCTATTCAAACAACAGATCTATTCATTAAAAATGATGTAATTAATATATATTAGTCACTTAGAATGGCAGAGATAAAACTATGTAAGGCCAATATCCATTAGAGTAGAAGGCTGACCACATTTAACTTTGTAACTGATGTTTTTCACAATGTGAAAATGTTAAAAGGAATTTTAAATGAGTAACAATATTCTAGATGAAAATAGTAAGAATGATGCATTCATGATTTAAATTCCTTTTTTTACAAGGAATAACAAATACATTAATGCAATTATAAGCTTAGCTATGGAAGTACTTCTATTGGTTTGAAGACATCTTTCCAAAGCGTGTCCCTTAAAAAACCCAAATTTTGTTTTTTCTTCTAACAAAAGTGTTTAAACTTATTTTCCAGAGAAATACCCCTCTTGGGTGGTAAAGAGAGGTAACTAAACCACCAAGTAGTGTTTCTAGTTTTGGAGCCCTTTCACTTGAATGACTTGATATTTTGAAATTAATTTTTAGACACTGAAAAGTAGACAGTCATATTTCACAGTTCAAGAAAGTCCCTCTGTGCTAGGTATCTCCTTCCTTCATGTTCAGTTTTAAGAATTTTGCTTCTCAAATGCTCATTCTTCAAAAAAAAATGCACTCTTATCAAAATCTTTCTTACTAAACAAGCACCTCTGTCAGAAGTGTCTTAATTTCTTATCACAGAATTTTATCCACACGAGGAGCAATAAATAATTCATGCCATTGCCTCTTTGTTGTGTGTCCCTGAGCTGTGCAGCGCTGGAAGGCTGACAGCTGTGTCAGGACAAGCACCAAAGATCTGACATGACAAGTGACTAACAAGTTTCTTTCAGTTCATAGTGAAAGAAGACAATGGCCCAAAGTGCAGAAAGAAATCCTGCAACAAAATAAAACTGCTTCTTTCTTTTTACCTAAGTGTTTGCAATGAGCTTATTTCCAACCCACAAGCCCTGGTCATTTTATAGGACTGCCCAGCCCCCTTTACTCCTCACACTCGCTTGGCCATTTACGCCTGGCCACGGATCAATATGAGAAATTCTTGGAGAAATACGATGTCTCCATGACAACCAAGCCACAAATTCTCAGTGGAAGGCAGTGAGACCAGTAGTGAACTCTCCAGAGGTTTCTAGGCCTATAAGGCAAGATGTCTTAAAATGCAGAAATGGGCAGAGGAAAAAGCCAGAGTAATTCATTCTTTATTACCAGTTTAATGATGTCCGATGTATAGAACAGTACTCACTTTTTAAGTTAAGCTTCTCTATCAGTGCCTATATTTTCTAAATAATCTTTCTGTTCTGATCCATCCTTTTGTTTATATCAATCAGATAGATTATGTTATAGTAGAACTGCAGTACAATTCCACTCATATTGAGGGATGATAAAAATTTATTCGACTTTTGAAATGGTATAAAGTGGATCTATTCTCGCCCAAACAGTGAACACTTAGGTAGAAAGATGACTTGTGGATTTAACTGCCTGGCAAAGTGGTTGATAGAAAACTGGTCATTAAGACAGTTTAAGAACTTAGTTGAAATTAGGCAATTTAAGTCGAAACAAAAAGTAATTTTAAATTAATTTTATTTTAGAAATTTTATGCTACCACTGTCCTCTCCCTTTTAGAGTGGAACTGATCTACATTTGTCTTTTAGCTATTATGGCAGGGGATGGGTTTAATGTGCTGATTAAAAATTTCTGTCACTGTTAAAGATGCCATTTCCCAGGTCGGCAGGAGAGCAGAAGTGTGGCTGGGAACAGACACAGGGCAGCGGTCCATCTTTTGAGGAATCTTCGTGCAGTGGAGGGACTGAAATACAATGCCATCGCCACTGGGCCTATTGGGGTTCCGAGATGACTTAGGGGACCTGACATAGATTGCAGGCTGCACCTTTCACTGAAAATTAAATCTCAGTAGCTCTCCTCGGGGAAGGATCAGGGGACTGTTTGCAGCTGCCCCCTGTCAGCAAAGGCTACAAGATTTGGAAATCTCTTAACTAAGCTGACAGGCCACAGAGAGGATGAATCAAAAATCTGATACATGGATGCGAGAGAGTAGAGGGTACACAGCAGCCAGGGAAAATAGGAAAGAAAAATGTTAACTCTTTCATTCGTGATAATAAGGTACCTTTTAGCACCTCATGGCTTTGCAGTGATCCAGGAATGTGCCATTTGACTTTCACAAGATTTTTTTCTTTTAACTAATTAGGTGTTAAGAATAGGCATGAGTCAAAACACAACAAAAACAGAAGCAAAAATCCATGTTTAAGTATTCCTGGTCAAATTTTTCCAGTATATTTCTGTCTACTCTTTCTATGAAGAAAATACAAACATAGGTAACTTGGACCTTGGGTAAATTTTATTGCAAGAAGAAGGGTTATTATTTTTGTTTGTTTGTTTTCTAAACAGTTGACAACATCCATTAGTCCATTACTGTTTTGCTAAAATCCTCTCATCCCGGTTAGGTCCTGTTTGTATTCAGAAAGGTAAATAGATTGTAATGATGACAATTTGTGTCTCTTTTCTTTCTAACTCTCCATTTCCGCTTGATCCCATTATTTGACCTATTTAAAACATTGTCATTTCTTCAGTTTCTAATCTCTACCTCTATTAACCAGGTTAGTCTCAAATTGATGATAATGAACTAATAGTGTCAGCTTCCCTTTTCAGTCATAAAGCCTTTGTACTTCCTCCAACTGAATTCTTGATGAAAGAGGAAAAGATAACAGCTCCACACTGTGACCCCTGGAGGTGACCATTAATTTGACAGTGCAGCTGCTAAGAGAAAACAGCATTACAATGTCTGTCCTCTCTCCCCACCCCCTTCCAAGGACCCCAAAGCTGTGTCAAATTTATCATTTTATACTTGACTATGTTTAAATGGCTTTCACCTGGACTCTCAGACTCTTTCAGGACACATCTGTCAGGCATGTCCTCAGTGTCTTGGAAGTTTGCCGAGTCTGAGTTGCTGTCATGCTTGACCAGACTGGCTGAAGCTATTAAAGAGAGAGAGAGAGAGAGAGAGAGTGAAAAGAAAGAGTGATGAAAAAATAGCAATAAACACCATGAAACATTTCCTTTCAGTTCTACAGCTATTTCCAGGGACACATGATATAAACACAAACAATAAATTGAAATAAAATGTATCCTCTAAGTATGTATTGGCAGACATGTAATTAGTTGAAAAATCTATAGATGAGACTTTATCTTAGAAGAAAAATAAGTTCATGGCATCAGCTTAAAAGCTACAAAGTAACAAAGTGATCCCTTCGAAATAGGAACCGTATTTTTAATGCATAAATCTAAAACAATGTAGTCAATTAATGGCAGCAGGACGCAGAGAGGAGAACCTCAGGCTAGTCACTCAGAAAGACCAGTGCCACACTGGGGCAGTGGGTCCTTTTGTCACACAAATCACAGCTGATGAACACTCGTCAAGCATTTTGGTTCTCCTCCATTGAATGAAAAACTATGGCACCAGCTACATTTTGAAAAGCCCTATAAAAATAAGTTTTAAAATATAGAATGCATACACTGCAAATGATACTAAAGGAGGCTGGTATTTTCAATGGTAGGTCTCCAGAACCCTTGTCATGAGATGTTATTTTCTGAGTAGGGAGTATAAACAGAAACAGAAGCTATCACAGGAATCTAAAGTTTCCTTTAAGCCCATTACAACCGCTAGTTGTTAGAGAAAACATAGACTCAAGTTTCTACATTTTCCCACAAGTTGTAATATTTGGTCTAAATTATCTCCATTTATAACATATTTCCATATTATGGAATCATTTCAAGGAATTCATTTCAAGGAATTATTTCACAGGAAAAGTGGATACTGTCTTCATAAAAAAACATAATAAAGTGAATAATAAAACAAAGCAAGTCTGCAATAATATAAATTATGTTATGCTTCCTTGTCTGAACCCAAATAATATAAATATGTATATTATTGACTGCATTGAAATTTTATCTTTCACAAATTGCTGAGGTTAACACTACCACTGTCGTCTCAGATCTTGATAATACATGCAACATATTATTTATAAGCCTAAAATGCAAAAATATAGAATATATTTAGAAGTCATACATGAAATAATGTGTTTGTTGGCACAGGGGAGTGGCTTGTAACACTATTCCTGAACCCCCATCAGGAGATGAGAAAGCAAATGCACAGGTGGAAGCCTGGGTCACTTCACACATTCCTTCAGTGACACAAGGGAGCTACCCAGGTCCAAAGCAACTTCAGTAAGGCTCACACCTCCCACACTCCGCATCTTATTTTAGTGGAGTGTGTATAGCATCGGTGATCATAACCTGAGGCGCACATATGCATGCTTTCAAGGAAACCAGTAACATACTTCTGGTCCAAATATTCTCTTCCAACGGCCTCAGAACAGACAGTATTCTGTCTGCTCTGTGGGAGGGTGAGCACAGGGTTTGGATTCACCACATTGCTAAAACCTTTTGTTTGGAAACAAAATATGAGAAAAGAATATATGAAAGTCTGATTTTAAATAAATAAACCCAACTTTTCGTGTTGTACATTGGAATTTTCTGAAAAAAAAAGAAAGAAAGTAGGTACTGTGTCTATTTTATTCACCTCTGTATGCCCTGAGCTGTAGAAGATACAGTATTCTTAAAAGATTAGTGGAATGAATGAATGAAAAACTGAGCAAAGCAGAGGTACCATGCTAGAAGTCCTCCTGATCTGAGATGATACGTGCTTTGAAGTATCATTAATTGATCTGTTCAGTTTCTTATTCAGGACCACCTGAGATGAAGGGTGCTTGTTGGAAAAATGGTGGTATGGGTTGTCCAGTGACTTTATAGGAGAAACAAGATCCATATGGCATAAATAGTTATTGGTGTGATAAATTAATAACTTAATTTAATTTTATTCATTTAGAGCATACTTACAGATTATTTTTTAATCCAAAGATTTGTGTGAAATGTTTCAGTGGGATAATTAAATGTGTTGAAATTGCAGAACAGTGTACTATTTGTCAGGATGTCTTGGCCTGTTTTAATAATTTTTATCTCTATATACTTGTTAATTTCCTGAAATAATTATATTGGTATTTATAATAGGGAATTAATCATATAGTGAAATATATTCCTAACAACCAATAAGGTAAAACCTGTGTTTATTTGGGCAAATACATTGCACTTATTATCTCACAGATTGTTCTTTCATAATTTAAAATGTCTACCCATTCATTTATTCAGTCCTCCAACAAGACTCTATTCTGGACAGAGGGGCCTCAAAGAGGAAGACAGCATGGTATTAGAACAAGAAATAAATACCCGTGACCACTTTTAGTGGCAATGAAGTGGCCCAGGGCATACTGACATCCCAAACCATTCCACAAAGCCAGGATGTCAGCTGTAGTTTTTAGCTGCATGATTTCTACTAAGCTCCCAGGAGCTGGAGCCATGCAGCCATTCATGTCTTCCCACTGATGGGCAAGGGCGTGGTTTGTGGGCACAGGAGAGTGCAGAGGGCTAATCTTCAGATATTTTGCTTAATTATATGTTAGCTTTCAAATTTGAGATGGTACAAGAGTTGCCATTTTTACTGAGTAGTTTATAGAGTATCCAATAAAATTTATTGCAAAGGAAATGCCTACATTCTGCATTCTGTCAGTCGGGACGGATGAGCATTGAAAAGGTTAATGACTGCCATTCTACTGATTTTTTTTTTTTGATAGGCAAATCTTTGCAGTTGTTCTTTTGGGTGTTCCCTATGATGTTTTGTCATTAATCTCTGACATGATGTGTGACCAAGGCTTCTCTAATGAATCATTTCAAAAACGATGAAATCAACAAATATTGATTTAGTGCTTATTGTGGGTAGAGCTTGTGCTAGACTATGTGCGTGGTAAAAATGCGAAGGTGCTTTTAATGTGCCCTCCTACAACTTGTGATCCAGTTGAGGTATAACTAAAAGTAACCAGTAGGAGCATTAGAGAGAATATATAGAGAGTGACATGGTTTTTAGGAAGGCACAGGTAATTCCCCTGCAAGAGGGTAGTCTAAAAGTAAATTTTGAATTAAATCTTGACAGGAAAAACAGCCAGCTCAAAGGGAGCTCATTCAGGCAAAAAAAAAAAAAAAGTTGTGAACCTGGCCAGATATGACCAAAGATATATATTAGCTTAGTTCCACAAACATACTTGTTAACAGAATGTTGCTGCCTATTTTTTTGTATGTCTTTTTAATGAATTTTCCTTACTTGTCTCTTTGAGCTTTTTCTGAAATTGCTGTTGTGGCTAATTCTTCTCACCTGAAGAAGTTGGTTATAGACAGGTTTTTCCCAGCTCTGGATAGTCAATAATTTGATCTTTACTGATGGTGGGCCCATTTATCACAGTAAGTTGTCCTTTCACTATACATATTGACTTTTATTTATCAATACCAAAGTCCATTTGTAGCTCATCACTAAAGTTCTTGGATATTTTCAGTAGTTTTTGAAGATGCATTTTAGAGCTTGGCAGAGAGATACTTTTGACGTCAATTTAGTGTAAGCGGTTGCTGGGCTCATTCTTAAGTCAAAATCAAGTGTTTATTTCCTCTGTAATGGATTCTGAAATAGTCTGCATTTGGGGGGCGAGGGACAAAAAAAGACAAACTCCTCTTGACAGTTCTACCACTGAAAGATGTAGGGCTCTTCCATTTACTCATCACATACCTCCAAATATTGACAACTGGAAGGCCAGTGTTCTAAATATCTTTGTAATATCTCTGGTAGCTAGGTGGAGGGAGGAGTCCATGCACTTTGGACGCATGTGTCTGACTATGGTGTGTGTTTAATGAGCATAGTTCTCCTAGATCCTAAACAAATGAATGGTTCAGCTGTAGACGGTATGACATTGGTAATTTTTAAACCACATTTAAGAATATCTAATGAGGAAACCCAGAAGATTGCATGATAAAGATTCGATAGAACAATTTACTATTAATGTGATGACGGGTCATCAGTGGTTATAGCCCTTCACCTCTCTCTGGTCTCTATTTTGGTTTTGGTTAACCTCTAAAAATTTTCCCCATCCTTTTCAAATCAGTTACAAATAGATGGTGTTAACTCTTAAATGTGGGTAGGCCTGAGCAGCAAACGCCCCCAAAGAGGGTGACTGCTGACAAAAACCCCATCTCCTTCCACAAATAGCAATTTGTCCTTTCAAGTCAGGCCAATATGTAGTATATAGAGAGCCCTTGTTAAAAATCCACATCATTTGCAGTGTGAACCAAATCTGCAGTCCAAATAATGTTTTCAATATGATGACATATATGATTTAAAAATAGGTGCCATCCATCCATCGTATGAAAGGACCTTTTTGGAGGTATTGTAGATATTGATAAGAAAATAATTAATAAAAGCACATAACAGTTTGAAATATTGGTCAAGTGAACAGAATAAATCATTGTAGTAGCACATAAAACTCAGATGTCTTGGTCACACCTTAAAAGTAACGTAGAGTTTGCAGAGGTCAGGAAAGACTAAAAGACTGCTCAGATTTGTGAAGTGAGCAGTGGAAAAGAAGTCAAAGTCCCGAGTTCAAATCTACTAGCTCAGTGCAGTGGCCATATTGGTTGATAATTTATATTTCTCCCTAAACTTAAGGAGTTAGTATGAAGTCAGCTAAAAAAATCTTTCCAGAGGCTTATAAAAGAAAAAAAAAACTATGTTAAACTCAAGTCGAAGTAAATACTAATGCATTCATTCCTCACAAATCACAAAAGACTGCAATAGATTTTAATTAGAAGGAGGTACAATCAATGAAAAGACTAAATGATAACACCAAATTTGTAAACAAAGAAGATGTTGTTTGAACTGAACAGACCTCAAATTCAGTTTACAAAACGGTTCTCTCTGGACTGATGTCTTATCAGGAAAACATATCTACCTAAGGAGCTATGTACATACTATCCCTGCTTTAAAAATATCTATGCTGAGATAAGCAATAGGACCTCTTGATTCTATTTGAATAGCATTAGC